CGAATAGGTCCACGTCTATAAGGAGTATGTGAGGTGCATATGTATGGCGCGAGAAAGTGCCACTAAAGTGTCCTATGTTATAGCAAACCCGTACCCTCAACTATAAGGTTTCAGTGAAATGTGACAAGGAGACGATCTAACCGAAAAACACGAGCAGGAACTCTGAAGCCAACGGTAGCGATCCGGACGAGTTGTGTGACATAGGATAATTAGCAATACCTGCCATAACAAAGTCAACGGCGTGATCGTCGCTTAGTATGACTGCATTCCAATAGAAAACGTCGTGGGCGATGCCTTTTGCCGCTACCTCTTACCCTCCATCTGGTACAAAATGACAGAAACACAAGCAAGGGACATCGAAAGAAACAACTCGAGCCCTAGCATTTAGGGAATCGGAAAAAGGACGAGTGTGCTATTGGCGTTCTCGGTAGAACACGGCGGCTGCCCCAGACTAAAACTGTACATAATTCGCTGCCACAGTTTTCGCACTGACCTCATATACTTACCCTAGGTTACAGGTTCACCCAGCATCAGCAACTGCCGATATCCCCTTCAAGTCCCTCCAGGCGACGTAGCGACAGAGCGCGAACACATTCTGTACTATCGAGCTCTGTCCAGACCAGGAAAGCCTTTGGTTCCCCGCCCATCAGGCGCAGACCTGCACGGTACAATAGAAATCACCGTATTTATATTTGCTAATCAATGTGAATTATGTGAGCCTAGGGTACCCTTCGCCTTCTCCCATCTTTAAATCCAGTCGGATAAATATCATAAGTCGTCACTCTACTATCCCATTAAATACCACATTCCCTGTGATTACTACTAGTTCCTTTCATGGAGCTAGCCTAGTAGTTTGTTAGAATGCTACCGGCGATCTGTGAACTCCTGTCAATGTGGCAGACAATTTTGCAAAGTCCTCCAACTCCTAATGAGGCTACGAAATGACACACGTTTACGGCATCACCAGTCTTGATTGCCCCATTGTTAAAAATCTAGGCTGAATTTGATCAAAGTTTTTTCCTGTGAGCAGATCTCTGAAACTCTGTACCCGCGGGTGGTTTGTCCCATGAATATCCCACTAGCCTTGAGCGAAAACGCCTGGCGCCCGCGCCACAGGTGCTGCTGCAATGGCTTCGACTTACCATTAGTGGATGTGACAGTCTACGAGGACAAACCAACTCTGATACACCTTGTTTTCCGCACTTCGCTTTGAACCTGCATCTTTGTCGGGACTGTCAAGGCACATCGTACGTTGGGAATTCCCAGCGAGGGGGAGTGTTGTATTTGTTTTTGGAGAAAAAAAGTTATCGGTTGTTGACTTTCCTTGAGTTTTCCGGTTCCTCCGCACTATACCCCACTCCCCTCCTCTCCCGCCCATTGGTAGTTTCTGGAGGAGAAGTGGAGAAATTCCTCAGAAAAAGGGTAGAAAGTCTGGGAGAATGTAGAAATGTGGTACAGTGCAGTTCTCAGCGGACGGTGGGGCGGTCCTAAGGCCACGCTGGCGAGCGGCCCGATAGTTGCCTTTCGGTGGATGGCCGCAAAAACCTTGCCTCTGCGTCTCTTACTCTGCACTCTGCGCTCTAACACACGCCGCCGCACCGTCTACCCACTCTTCCGCTCTGGGCTCTTACCGATCGATAATTCTCTCGATCAGCTGATTCCTGCCGCATTTTCGCAGTATTTTTGCTAGATTCAGCTTGTTAAAGCTGAAATTTTTCGACTTTTGACTTCAATGTTCGAAGGTGAGTATTCTTACTGAAATTATATCACATTTTGCATGAATTTAGCATTAAATTGGGAAAAAAATTGAATTGGGAATTTTAGCATGGAAAAGCGAACCATTAAGGCAACTTCGAGCTTCAAAAAAGTGTCAGAGATGGTTCTCGATAATAGCGAGATCATCTGAGACACTGCTTTGAAAACTCGGTCAATATCATAAAATAAATGGGGATATTAAGGAAAAGTTTGGAGAAATTGCGAAAATCAGAAAGAAAAACAAGTTTCCTAGGGGAATTTCATGCTAAATTCATTCAAAATGTGGAATACTTTCAGTAAGGATACTCACCTTCGAACATTGAGGTCAAAAGTCGAAAAATTTCAGCTTTAACAAGCTGAATCTAGCAAAAATACTGCGAAAATGCGGCAGGAATCAGCTGATCGAGAGCGTCAGCAATTATCGATCGGTAAGAGTCCAGAGCGGAAGAGTGGGTAGACGGTGCGGCGGCGTGTGTTAGAGCGCAGAGTGCAGAGTAAGAGACGGAGAGGCAATGATGATAATCTCCTGAAAGTTTTCGGCTTCCCATCGACACGCAATCACCGGAACGCTCGCCAGCGTGGTCGTAGGGAACGCCCCACCGTCCGGTGAGCGCTCAACTGTAAGCAGGACAGAGCTTGGCTAAGGGGGTTGTTCGTTAGAAAGGAATTTCGAGGAAGGCTCAAGGGATGTTGCAATTTTTTTCCAACGGCAGGGCGGGCCACGGCGCCTGTGGCTGTGCGGCAGACATTCCGGGCAAACTGATTTGTCATTCCTGCTCAACGCTTTGAAGTATCCCTGTGAACAAGAACAAGACGTTTAGCCGAATTAACCAGAGGAAGATTCCGTCAAAATCCAGCCTGAATCTCAAAAAATAGGTGGAGGGGCAGCGAAGAATAACCCACCCCCCTTCTGCATACCTAATCTCTCAAGCTTTGACAACAATCGGCGCAGTTAAGCGACGGAGGGGCATTTTGCGCTTTCGCTGCTTCACTAAATCGGGTTTACAAGCCCCACTCTAGTGGAAACTCATGGTAAATGGTATTAGTATGATATTCCACGGTTACAAGAGCTGACAGGCCGTCTACAAACTTTGGCTGGTACCATTTCGTGGCTTCATGGCTTCACAAGGTTTCCAGGTCCCAACTTCGTGGCCTCTACCCGTCGATGGGAAGTAGAAAAACTCAAAATGGCTCCTCCCGTCACCAAACTGCGCCAAAAAATCCTCGCACCATGGTTCACAAGCGCTTCTTTGCACCTTCCAGCACCAAAAAATGCCTAACATAGGAGAATCGGAGAAATGGCGTGCTACTGAAACTGGTCCATTCCGCAGCTTTACATGACTTTACAGAACTTTACGAAATTGCCCAATAGATTAACAGGAGTTAAAAAATGTCCCCCCCCCGCTCCCTGGCTCACTTACGCTCCACTTATTATTATACCTACATACAGTAGTATAGATGAAACTTATGACGAGGTAAATGGATTTTGTTGAGAATTTCTCTACTTTTTCTGATCAACGTATTATTATTGTGTATTTTAAAGGCATCCCGGGTTTTTCCCCATCCATTATTTCTGTTCCTTTTCTGAGGGAGAATGGAGGAAATCTGGGTAAGTAGTGAGGGGTGGCCTCATTCAAGTGATCGGCTATAAAGCCTGGCGACAAGCTCATCTCAACAGATATTAAGACTGCCCCCATAACCCTGCCAGAAGTGCACGTTATTACTGCGGTCGACGGGTGCCAGCGCTGTAATTTTAGTAACAATCACCGTAGCACACAAATCGACCACACGGATAATATTACGCCTAAATATTTATTTGCGCTTTTCATTTTGTCCCCCTACTTGGCATACCCCTCACTTTCACTCTTTGCTTTTCCGCTCTGAATAAGACCACCCAGTGAGGGGATTATTCTAGCGGTGCTGGCGGCGGTGGTGGGAAAGAGAGGGGGGAGGCGGAGGACGCAGCGCCACCGAAGAATCAATATGGGGTCTTGGACGGCGCAGCGGTGTGAGGGGTGCTATCGAGGACGATCGACCAGCATAGAAACGTCGATCGATTGCCTAGTGAACTTTAGTCCTGAACCGGTTCTTGATCTCTGTAACAGACACCAATTACATTCCTAGAAACCTTGCGCTGAATTTCAATATTTTGGATACATTTCACTTTTTTTCACCGCAATAAATAGCCCAGGTACGGAGAATTCCCTCTCTGAAAGCCTGTTACGACGCTATACACACAACAGGCCCCGCACCCCCTTTATTTAATCTCCCAACACAGCGGAATGTGTGCGAGCAGAGAGGCGCGTGAGAGGGGGGGGGGGTGCGCTGCTGTGTCATCCGGCCGCCTCCCTCCCCCGCCGCCGTAAGACCCTCTGCGTCTCTGCCCTTTACGACCCCATGTTCCCAAGCTCTTGATACGACCCCGTGGCGGCGATTACTCCCTCTCTGCACGCTGGACTCTGCCCACTAGACGTGACCTTTCACTGCGATTGCGCCCCTCGCCGAGTGGGGCGACCTCCATTCTTCCTCACACCTTTGCTATTCCCCATTCACTGATGGACCTGGACCCTAACTATTTTCGCTCACTTGAGCAAGCTGCTGTGCAATTTATTCGAGCGTGTGAGACGATCTATAATTCGGGCGCTACTGAGTCCGTTGGCGATCAAAACGATGCTCTTCCAAGTCCTGATTGTCCTTCGTCACCTGCTCCTGATTGCCCATCCCTCGGCTTGGCCCAATTTCTGATCAAGGAGGAAGCTCAGTCGGAAGAAACGAACCCCATCAAGTCAGAGGAACCTGAGGAGCCAGTGACCGATGATGTCGCCCAGTCACAGATGAGTGTTGCTGATTCTTTGGCACTTCTGTCGTCAAGCTGCAATACTACTGCAACTGGAGAATGGCTTGCTGCACCGGGACAAAATCGAATGTCATATTCTCGAGAATTCAAACTAATGGTTATTGACTACTACCAAAGAAATGGTATGAACAAGTATCGAACTTGCAAGGAGTTTCACATCACTAAATCTATGCTAAAAGGATGGCTATCAAGGGTACGTTCATTTGAATGTTTCATTACTGGCCCTACAATGTTTATTTCTATTCCAATTAAACATCATTACGCGCGTATATAGCAGAATGCAGTTGTAGAAAACAAAACCTTAAACAATTTGGACAGTAGCTAAAGTCTAAGATGAAAATAAACGCTCATTCAAACTCTGCCCACTGGAAATTTAGAAATCGATTTTGAGGGAAAAAAGGTGATGACTTTTCTAGGATTTCTCCGTTTGTCTGGCGCTATGGCCCTCTCTACTGTAGTTTACTGGAAAGTTTACTGGGGAGTGTGAAGAACTTCAGAAAAGTGCCTCATTTTAGTTTTTTAGAGAAATTTCGCCGAAATGGTCATCTATTCGTTAATTTTTCATTGAATGTAACTGTGTGGTTTTTTTGATGCTGACCAAGATTCAATAGTCCCGCTGCTAGTTTTGCCACAAAACTGCGATTTTGAGAAAATTATAATTATATTATAAATATTAGCATCTAAACATATAAACATAAACATCTATTATTAGCATCTATAAACATCTATTATT